GACCAAAATCTTCCACTGATGACGTAACTGTAGTTCTGGTGAAGCCCAAAATTTATGAAGACTCACGATTGACACAAGAAATGATTGCTAAAGAATTGGGCTTGATTAACATGGCTGTATCGTGTATATTATGTAATAATCAGGGATACACGAAGAAATCAGCTGGATGGATAACACGAGTTCTAAGGAGGCTTTAGAGCTGTTTGTAAAATTGTTCCTAAACAAATTGAAAAATGGTCAGTCTAGAAACTTAGTAAAGTCGTTACTGGTGACCACAGTTCATTGTGTGTAGCTGAACTGAAGGAAATCTAGTAAAATCTAAGCAAAAAAATCAGCAGCAAAAGTAAAGATATCAGTATACTTCACCCGCTCTAAAATCGTAGCTTCAACTCCACTGGAAGAGGGTTGGACGGCAAGAAGCAAAATAGAACACCGAAGAGGGCTTACCAAAAGTTTTCAAAAATTTATGGGAAAACAACAAGAAAAAAGAGGGTTTGTGGTATTACTTTTTACAACATGACAGCGCGCCATTCCACTTTGCTGAAATAACGAGTAATTTTACTGTGATCTCTGGGATCGAATATATAACCTTGTCACTGCTGGCTATTTCCAAAAATTAATAAAAAATTTTAAAAGACAAGGTCTTTAATAGCAACGAGGAGATAATTATTTCTGAACTTGAAAAGCTTAAAAAGTAAGATTTTGAAGACTGTTCTCAGCAGTGAATCTAGAGGCTTTCGAAATGCTTTGAAATCAATGGCGACTGTGTAGAGAAGATGAAAAAGAACAACGATTTTGAATAATTACAAAAAAAAAAAAGTTTTCCTGTTCAACTTACCGCAATTTGCTTAAAAGGCTTACATTTAAAGAAATTTTATTATATATTTATAATTTAATTTAATACGAGGGCATTGGTTTCTGTCTTCTGCAGAGCAATCTCAAGCAAGAAGAGAGCACAGTTAAAAAGTAAACCTCCAAATTGCCGACATGCAATTTACTCACGCTTTACGCTCTACTAATTGAGCCAATTAAAATAATTATGCAGATTTTTAATGATTTAAATATTAAAAACAATAACAAGAAGAAGAAGAAGAAAAAAACAGAGCAATTTCGCTGTCCTTGAACAAACACAGTGATTAACTACATACATACATACATACATACATACATACATACTCGTACATAATGTATTCTTCATATAATATATACGAGTATATATACTACATATGTGTATAATTAAATGTAAATTAAAATATTATTACACATACCTGTAACTGCTGTTGTTGTGGATGTTGCTATTGTTGTTTTTGTATGACTATAGTTATTTTAACCGTTAAGAAATTTCACCAGCTGCTTTGCCTTTCTTATATGTTGTACATTTTCCTTTACAGTTATGTACTTGGCAGTTGACACGCGCTTGTATTTCCAGTCAAGCAAGTTAATTTCCAGCGCAGATGAAACTATGAGGTGCACAACAATTTACGTGTGCGTGTGTGTGTGTATGTGTGCTAATGTATGTATGTGTTGTATTTTTATGCAGTTAAATTTAAGTAGAAGATCCGGCATACACACGCGGAGAGAGTGAAAAATGAAAAGTGAAAAGTCAACATTGAGTCACTGCCGCTGACGTGGACGTTGACGTTGCCGTAGAGGTCGCAGCTGTGTTGAATTTTTGTTTTTTTGTTTCTTTTTTGAGCGAGGTTAGTTGGACACTAGAGTTGAGCGTGTAAGTGCTTAATGTCCTGCAGCGACTCAACTACATATATACATATGTACATATGTTTTGACATACACATACACACAATTCACCTTTACCATACGCCTTTGTCGTTTTTATTATATTTCAATTGTTTCTTATTGTTGTTATTAGGATATTTTATTACTATTTTTGTTGTTGCTGTCTGATATTATAAATACTATTAAACAATTGTTGTTCTACTGTTTACTTTTTGTGCCTACTATTGTTGTTGGTGTTGTGTTTGACACACTATTTACATATAAATATATACATATATTGTTGTTGTTGTTGTTTCTGTTTAAGTTGCCACTGCCGTTGTATTGTTAGTTGGCTTAATTTGCCTGCAGCTATTTGCGGCACGCACGCGCACATATACATACACACAAAATGAACTGTACACACACAAGCACAATTTCTTTTTTTTACAATTTTTCTCTTTATTTTCTTTTATGCATATTTTTATTTTTTATTATTTTTCTGCAATTTTTTTGTTTTCTATCTTTTTTTTTGCTTTATTTTGTCCTATAAATATGTATGTAGCTTAATTATATGCACATACAAGTATATATATTTGTACGTGTATGTATGTATGCATTTTATAACGAGTTGTCTCACTGACTGACGTCGTTGATATTGTTATGTCCTTTCGTTTAAAGGACACTTGACAACAACAGCCGCATTTAAGCTTTACACATACATATGTACGTATGTATATATATATATATATATATATATATATATATATAAATATACGTTTAAGTGTGTATTAAAAATAAAAATGTATCATTGGTTTGAGTAAAAAAAAACATGCACTTTGACAGTTTTCATTTACCGAAATATATACTGAAACATATGCTCATATACATATGTAATATGTATGATACATATATACGTTCACTTGTGCTGACCGGTGTGTCAAGCTTTATACGGTTATACTACATACATATATCTCTTTTAAGCACCGTTGTGTAGCTTTCGTGTTCCTTTTTCGTGATTTCTTGATTTTTTTTTCACCGCAGATTTTTATTGTATATAAAATTTCCTTCGCCTCGCTGGCCCCACCTTTCAGGCATTAACTATTTTACACTTTTTCGTCGTTGTTTTAAAGGATATTCTTTAGCACTTTTTTTTAGAAAATATTTTTCTTCAATGTTTATTGCTTCATTTCATTTATGTTGCCTCACTAAATCACTTTAGAATATGAACTCTGCTTTCCAGGGTAGGACTCAGGCGTTGCTAATTACATGGGCCTACATATATGTACATTTGTTATACTATAGCTACATAAGTATGGATTTACATTTTTTAAATATATTATTAAAATATATTTTTTTTAATAATAAAAAATATTTAGATAAAATTTTATTAATTTTTAATCAATTTTTTTTTATTCATTTTGGCAAAAAAGTGAATAAATATAGGCTTTAAGAGAAGTGTTTTTGTTGTTTTATTCTTCAAATTTTATCAGTTCATATATTCATATATATTAGTATTCATTTTTGTTTGCTATGAAATCATCGCACATAAAAACTTTGTCCAACGATGTTGGCGTAAAACTAACACTTTCGTCAGCGCAGATGTTCGGTGGATATCAACAGGACGTTTGTCTGTGGACCACCGATCGTTTCTTAACTATAACAAAGCAAACTGAACCGTTATCATGGAGTTTACCAAGAATGCTTTCAGTACTATCATCAGTCTAACTGACGTCACGCTGGTGGCTGCCTCAGCAGACTCGAAATATTGGCACCATTAAAATCTAGACTGAGTTCCTGCTTATCCAGTTTAGATCACAACATACCCAACGTATGTTCTACATCAACGACACTAACCATCTCTTTGCATGCCTCTTCCCACTGCCTACTCATCTAAACAACCTTTCCTACTGGTCCGGATCCGTCGTAACGGTTCGTTTCCTGGACATCTCGTTAGTTTTTTCGATAACTTTGACTAATCTTACCTGGGATTGTTTAGCCGCTACAACAAAAACTACAATAACATTTGCGTGTGATACTAAGAATCAAACCGAAGTTTTCAACATATCGCCGGTTGCGGCCACGCCTCGACGAGAAACAAAGATTGTATGATGAAACATCATGTCAAAATCGGACTTAGTGATGAAACAGTTTTCTACTTAACTTATATTCCTGAAGGCACTGAGACTTCCAGCAGGCAGAGAAAATTAAATAGACGTTTAATTACCCGACTATGACAATGGGTCCGTTGAGTATTGGCAGAGCTATTCAAACATGACCGGTAACATATTTTAAGTACTTTCGGATTTCGGTCTTCGTAAGTTTTATGCGATTTTTAAATTTCTAATTATTAAATTTATGTAATTGGTAAATTTTTTAAAGTAACCGGGTTTTCTGAAACTATTTCGAGTAACCGGTTTTATGTATTCAGTTCTATTTTTTTATGCAGATTTTTTTATTCGTTTTTGCGTATTCATAATTTAATTTCTTTTAACTTATATTAGTACCCGGTACCTTTTTCCAAGTAGTCGGTTTGCGATCTATCATTTCCAACCTAATTTTTGTATAGTTTTTAATAGAACTGGAAACTTTGTTTCATGTTATTCCTGATGACACAAAAATCGGTTTTCCATAACCGGTTTCCAGTAACCGGTTTATCATATTCGGTTTAACTATAATAATACCGATTTTCTTTACTCGTTTTTGTGCATTTATAATTTTTTTTTAACTTATTTCAGTATCTGGTATCCTTTTTCAAGTAATCGGTTTGCAATTTATCATTTCCAAACCCATTTTTTATAGAATATTCTATTAAAAACTATAAGTTTGGAAAACTCTGGCAACATTTTTTCATACTATTTTTGACGACTCAAGGATCGGTTGTCGATAACTGGTTGGAGTAACCGGTTTATCATATTCGGTTTCACTTTAATAATACCGACTTCTTTTGCTCGTTGTTGTGCATTTATAATTTTTTTATCTTTATTTAAGTACCTCGTATCCTATTTAAAATAATCGGCTTTCAATCTATCATTTCCAAACCCATTTTCCAAATTCTATTAAAAATTTGAAGTTTTGAAACTTTGGCAACATTCTTTTATAATATTCCTGATTATAATTTTTTTTAACTTACTTTGAGTACCCGGTATCCTATTTAAAGTAATCGGTTAGCAATCTATCATTTCCAAACCCATTTTCAAAATTCTATTAAAATTTTTAAGTTTCGAAAACTTTCGCAACTTTCTATTTTACTTATCCTGATGGTTCAACGATCCGTTTTTCATAACCGGTTCGAGTAACCGGTTCGAGTAACCGGTTTATCATAATAATACCCATGCTCTTTGCTCGTTTTTGTGTATTTATAATTTTTTTTTTTTAATTCACTTTAAGTACCGGGTATTTAAAGTAATCGGTTTGCAATATATGATATTGCACACATTTTTTAAGTTTCGAAAAGTCGGGCAATTTTTTTCAACAATTTTCCCTAAGAATATCTTTACTAAAATAAATTTAGATTTGTCTGTGATTTTTCTATAGGCTCGACGAAGTATTAGCCTTAGTAAATTGAGTTGATATTAACTTTGAAAATTGAAATCTGTTGTAGATGTTCCAAAAACATTGACAAAAGCATTCCGCGGGATTTTCTTCTGAGTTTTCTTTTGTCGTAAAATGCATGTGTTCATTTAAAAACAGGTTGGTATTTGAACTTGATACTGAGAGCCCATACTTACATACACGTATATCTATGAATACAGATTGTTGTCATTTAGTGGCCCATAAAAATATTTCAAACATTTCAACTGCGGCTAGACTGCATAAAATTCTTTTAGTAAAAGCAATGTCAATTCAAAAGAAAAAAAACAATCAAGGCACAAACACACATATGCACCTACATATGTGTATGTATGTACACAAGTAAACCACAAAAGAGAAGTGAGTAAATACAACAAATATTTTTTTCAGAGTTTTACATTCCAGAAAGTAAAAGATGATTGAAAGAGAAGAAATAAAAAAAGAAAAAGCATGAGGTAGAATATATTCAAATGAATAAGCTCGCTAGTGTTTTTCGCGAATAGCGCATAAAATGAAGAAATCAACAACAACAACAACAACAACCACTAAGAGCAAATGACTGCATAAATTGAGCGCTACAACTCAGCGCGAGCAAAATATGCGACAGGCAAAGAGGAAAGTTTACATACATCAGCGTCCACATACATACTCGTAAGTGGGCATGTATGTCCTCATACACGTATGTATGTACTCCGTGTATTTATAAAATAGAAGAAAGCGGCAAAGCATGGCCAAAGACAAATGGCGTTTAGTCGTGATGGCGGCATGCCATGCCATGACGTTATGTTTGTTGTTGGTGTCATTGACGCCTTGACAGACAACTAAAACTGCAAATGCCGAAAAAACAAAATAATAACAACCTCAATTGCAAATACAAGCGAATAGCCTGCGAAGAAATTAGACAAAAATAATATGGCAAACGAATAGTAATAGAAGAAAATAGAAAAAAATTAAAAAAAAAAAATAAATAAAAAACAAATCACAAAATTCAGCTAAACACGCCGTGCGTATGCTTCATATATGAGATATATATTAGACATATATGTATGCAATGTAGTGTTTTCTATGATTATACTAGTCACTAAATGGCTGCGGTTAAGCACGGCCAAGCTGATGGGTTGGGCCGGGCAACTGGGGCGGTGGCTTGAACGCTGTTGGCGACTGCACACCGTGCAGGTGGCAGGCCTTACGAACTGTCAGTGAAAAAGGTATATATAAAATATTGTGTATGATGACATACGCATATTTAAGCATGCCGCACGGGATATGCTCGCAATGTCGCTTACCGAATTTCTGTTTTTAAATTTTTTGTTGACATGTGAACGAAAAATTGCTTTTAGCCACAAACAAGTGCACGAAAAAACGAAAAAGCAAAACGACTACAAGAAGGAAACGAAATAAAAGATCAGCACACTCAAAAAATGTAGCAGAGCAAAGCAAAAAAAATTGTGTAAAAGCTCTACTATTTAAGGTGCTCTTTTTTTCTTTTTTAAGATTATTGCATTTGTTATGCTTTTTTAATTGAATTTATCTATATTAATCTCTTCATTTACCTTTCATTTATTTATTTCATTTTAGTTTATTTACTTTTAACTTGTTTTGCGTACTTTATTTAATAATATTGTTTTAAATTATTTTACGTTATATTACGTGATTTTTTGTCACTCATATTTTTTAAACTTTTTAGTTTATTTTGTCAAAGTTATTTCAATATTTATAATATAATTTTAATTTATGTTGTTTAATTTAATTAATTTAAATTTTTTTACTATATTTTAAATTTTTTATTAATTAATTTTATCTTGTTCTTCTTCTTGCATATTATTATTTATTTTTTTATGTAAATTAATATTGTTTTATTTAATTTAAACTCCTTTTATGGTATTTTATTTTGCTCTATTTTATTTAATTTTTATTTATTTATCTTATGTTTTATACAATTTTATTTTACTTAATTTTTTTTTAATATTTATTGTAAGAGGCAAGTGTAACCGCGATCGGTTTCGGGTTCAGGGCAGTCCTGACTGTTACTGGTTATCGGTCACCGGTCTGTTGGATTTTTCATAATTTTTTTTTAACTTACTACATATTTTTTATTTTAACTTATTTTATTTTATTTGAGTTAATTTTTTTTATATTTCTTTTATTTCAATTCATTTTATTTTCTTTTAGTTTATTTTTTATAGTTTAAATTTTTTTAGTTAGTAATTATTTATGTTAATTTATTTGCAATACCTTAATTCCTTTTTAGTATTATTTGATATTATTTTACATTAAATTATTATTATTTGTTTATTATATTTTATTCTAGTTAATAGCATTTTGTTGTTATAAATATTATTTTGATTTTAATTTCATTTTAAATTATATTGTTTTACTTTATTTTAATTTACTTTATTCTAATCCATCCAAATATAATTACTTTATTTTAAATTATTTAAGTTTGGTTTATAATTTTTGATTTCTTATTTTATGTTGTTTAGTTTAATTTTTTTTATTTTCCTTCAATTTATTGAATATTTTTTTTTGTTTATTTTATTGTTTATTAATTAATTTTATTTCATTTCCTATTCTTGTATATTCTATATTTTTATTTAATTTAAACTGGCTTTGAGGTATTTTGTTTTTTATAATTAATTTTTATTTTTTTTGTTCTATTTTATTTTTTTTTATTTATTTTTATCCCAAATTATATTGTTTAA